TGCGTGCGCAGGTGACAAGTGGCAATGTATGTAGTGTGTGTACTTGTCGCACTGTGTGTCGACTGTAATTGACACTTATTATAAGATGTAATGATCGAGATATTTTAGAATTCCTTATTAGTATATCATATTTACTCACCATTTCCGTTCCTGCTGTTGCGTGGAAGCTATTAATATGCACGCTAGTTGTTACAATAACTGCTGCTCCTGGGTGTAAAATGTAAGTATTGTATTATTTTTTCTCACAAATCGCATCACGTACATTAACTGGAATCAATCAACGACTAAATCAACAGTAGTAGCACTCAATAGCATTGGTTAAGAAAGCAACGGACAAAATAATAGTCTAATTAGTCATATTATCCTCCCACAATATTTTTAATATATATAAACGTTGAGCAAGAATCAGAATAAATTTTGAATTAACTCCCTGCTTCTCGTGACAGGGAACTTGAATTATGATGTGGATTCAGTGCCTCATTAAACCAAACACCTGATAGCCGTTACCACGCCATTCTGTAAATGTATGACTTCATTATAACTCTAACAAAGATAATATATATTACCGACACGATCATTGATAACATGACTTTGTTCTATGCTACCATATTACTTATTAATATTACATATTACTAAAATCTATAAGACTAGGTATTTAATTGTTTATTGTGAAAAACAGAAACACGAGTATTCATATTTCAAGAACATGCAATGCAACCATCTGTCCTTGGTCGTAACCAGTGTTGCAGCAAATAAAGCTACAGTTTTTCTATGTATACCAGTACCAGTATTATTATATTAATACCAGTACATATACATTTAAAATATTTTTATTGTTAGTGTGTGAGAACTATACAATGCCATATGTTTGAGATGTTTATTACGGCCTTTAACTGATACCTAAATTATACTATTTTAGGCCATAATCGTAATGAAAAATTGTGTTTGTACGATATAATTAACTAACATTTGAATGAGAAAATGTCTGACTGTGCTTGTACATATGTTTTATTTGGTCGATTAATTGCTAAGGGACATAAAAAAATTACTGATACTTTGTCTGTTTACCTTTATTATACAACATACATTATGATAATTATATCTGTTATATTATATAACTTTATTTTCCTATTATTATATGTTATTATGTTTTTCATTAAGCGTGGATGCTGACTGTAAGAAAGCGGGTTTGTGAGCATGAATTTCTGAAATTCGTTATTTAAGCAGTACAATTTCTCTGTTACAACTGTGTTCTGTCCATCAATATGTTACCAGTCTGAGATTGATTGGCTACTCATCCGTTGCATCAACATATCAATTTCTGGCGTCAATGGAGTATTTTTTAAAGATTGGACATGAGGACACTTGATCTGAACACGTGACTTTTCGAAATGCTCTGCTTAACTCCCAACCAGAAATAAACTCATTCACATAGTTAAATCCTAGATCATGAATAGTACACACCACATATGACATTTATAACGCTCAACACAACGCTTAATTTATATTATATATAAACGCAATACGCTTGTATTCATTGATTCACTGAGTCTACTGGTTTATTGAATATGTGATGATCACAAAAGGTAAATCACTAATAAAGTTTCATATCACAAATTCAACTCGTCCAGTACCTTACCCCGGCCAACGTCCAGCCAGGCAACATCATGATAGTAAACTAAACGCAAAACTTACAAACAAATATATGTAACAAGTGATCAGTTATTGAGTGTATTTACTACTTTAAAATATGAAAATCATGAAATTGAAATTGTAGATATTTTTTTATTTAGATGAACATGGACATTATACTGTATTGGGTCCCATCCGACGCATACGTGCATTTGAACGACAATAGAACACGAGTTTTACAATAATAAGTCGTTATTTAAACAATATTGGCAAAGCATTCCTCATAACTCATACACATAAGCGTTGGACTATTTACATGCATCAGAGCATACTTTGCTATGTTCCTGAAACAAAGTACGTTTTATTGAGATGTGACTGCACGTAAACACGATAG